ATTTTACGTAGGTTTACGATTTTCTTACGCACCGTAAAAACTTACGAAAGTTTATGTATATATATTTTTGCTGATGTAGAATAAGCAATTTGGCCGCTTTATATATGCTATTAAAACAAGTAATTTGGCCACAATAATATATTATTAAGTAATTTGACGTAAATACAATTAAAACCGGTAACTTGACTATTTAGTTGACTATTTGGGCTATTTATTTATACACCTCAAGATCACTCGACCTCTTTTGGTGCTTAATTAAATACACTAGACTAACTTTGTGAAACAATTCTTCGGTATTTACATTACCATTACTGCAGTACTGATAATTAGCAGCTTTGTATATAAATTTCTATTTATTGTAAACTCTTCAAAGAGATCAAAAAAAAAAAGACGAACATTCAAAATAATTGATAATATAATATGGTGCAAGCATCCTAAAGATATCCAAAATCACTACTCTCAACGAATATGTATAAATTCGCAAAAAAAAACCGTAATTTTGTAAAATTTTCCTGTAGTTATCGAGTTATGGATTTTTTTTTTTTTTTTTGCAAATTTGCGCATATTCGTTAAGCAGTAGCGATTTGAAAATAGCTTGAAGATGTCATACCACACTAATGATCAAGATATTGTGACACAAATTTGATGCAACTAGAGTGCTCGCACCATATTAAATTTATGTCATACAAAAAAAAAAAAGAATTAACTAATCAGATTCAATTGAATTTAAAACTGAATCAGGAATTCGGCAGTGTGAATGATATTTTTTAACAGCAAATTCAGCTGCTTTACCCTTCAAACCTTTTCGATATGCATCCATATAGCAAAATGCCTTCCTTGCATATCAGCGAATAGTTGGGAGCGAGACGGAATCAAGAGATAACAGAACAGTTCTTTGCAATCCTTTCTATGAATAATCACAATGTGACCGGCTATATCTCTTGGCTGCACCCAGAAGTTTTCAATATAATTTAGCTCATAATGAAATTTGAGGTAAAACACAATTTGGTGCCCAGCCGCAACAATAATTTCTTCCAACTGTCCTTTTTGCGCCAAAAAGTCTGATTGTTGACTCATTAATTCTCATGCTTCTTTTAATTTTAATTCTTTTTCTGGCCACAATCCTCTCTCTCTTAGAACTTCTTTTAATCCTTTAGCTTCTCCATGTAACTCAGGAATACGATAGTCTGATGAAAAAATCATATCCTGGTCATATCTTATTCTCTCACGAAAATATAATGTGCTATGTAGTTTCTCTTGTTTTCTAGCAGGATGAAGGTTCATATAGTTGGCAATAAGTGCATCAGGTGAAAAAATAACATGGCTTGTTGCATTGTCAAATGCGAACAAGGCTTGGTATCCTGGAAAACATGCTTTGAATATGGGAATAGCGCGGTTGATTATCTGGTTAATCAAGTTCTCAGACTTCCACCATCTATCTCCATTTTTGCCAGGGTATGTAATAACATAGGCTTCTCTAAGAAGCTCATCTGATGGTTGTATTTCATCAGGAAGCATAAGTCGACTACAAATATCAGTTAAAAATTCGCTAACATGAATTGAACAGCCCTGACCTTTTTTTCGTAAAGGTTGTTCACCATCAGGAATCTAAAAGCTCCGACTTCCATCATTAGCAGAAAATATGCATTCATCATGTGTAACAAGAATAAGAGGTTGTATATTGCTGTCTGGCCAAGTCCCCACTTCTATGTTATCTCCTAAAAATATAGGCATTCTATACTCAAGTTCACTTATTCGCTGCAAAAATATCTCTCGATAAGCTACTACATCTTCTTTCTCATGTCTATCTATATAAACATCTTTTTTTACTCTTTCATAGATGTACCCAAGCTCCTTTAAATAATTTTTAGCAGTATTGAGAGAAATTGTTGGAGGTGGTGCAAATCCGAGCCCTGGTAAAAGAACCTTATTTATTTGCGACATAATCATATATGGTGTAATATTCCACTTATTTTCTTGAACATATGATTTTATTTGAAAAAGAATATCTTCATCCCAAAGAAAGCTCCATGTTTTAGTGTGATGCCCACGGTGAGAATAAGGAATCTGACGTGCTATAACGTATTCATGCACCCAAGAACGAATGTACCTAGCATGATACACACCTTTTCCTGCTGCATCTGCAATAATTTTACTTGCTTCCATTTTTTGATAATTATTTTTAACAAGCTGAAAATAAAAATGAATACTATTAAGACAAACCCAAACCTCACTATTTACGTTTTCTTTTTCGATATCTAATGCTAGATTTTCAAGAGCGGCTGGAATTTTTTTAAGTA